AGCTACTGCACCTATGTACTCGCATGACAGTAGCTCGACTCACCTCGTCCGGTCACACAAGTTGCTGGCTTGACAGCTACTGCACGTGTGTACTCGCATCTTTTCAGTAGCTTTTAGGTCTCGTGCAATGTTGTCGCAAAATACACGACTGATCACGGTTCATACCGTAATAAAAGCGGTTACAAAAATACTTTGCGCTGAAATGATTCGAGCTGATAGTACTATACAAAAAAAGAAGAAAAACAGAACGATTAGGGCCAGGAATTGGATGCAAAGAAAAGGGGCAACGCATACTATATTTAAAGAACTATATAATGAAGATCCCCGAGAATATAAAGCAGTTATGAGAGTGACACCTACACAAGTGGAAGTACTCTTAAATTTAATTGCTCCAAAAATTCAACGTGAAGATACACACATGAGGGATGCTATCCCTGCGAGAGTAAAGTTGGAGATAACCCTCGTATACCTTTCTTCTGGAATATCGTATAGATTGTCGATATTTTTCAGAATTTCAAAAGCATCCATAATTAAAATAATACCAGAAGTGTGTAATGCTATAAATGAAAGATTTTATCAAAGTAAGTAATTTTTATTAATCAAATTTACAACTGATTTGTTAATGTTTTTTGCATGTATTAAAAATGAACCTAGTAATATGCAGCAAGTACATCACTTGCGAGTATGAACGGATTCAGAACTGTAATTAGAAGGAGTATACACATTTCTAGCATAGAGGGCTGTCTTACGGTATCCTAGAGAGTAATGCGTGTATTTCATCCATCGCATCAATTCTATTAATTGGTGATGACTGTCTGAGCTGCAGTGCTACATGTCTTCCAATTACATCACATCCATCTTCCGGTTCTTTTGCACTCGAGGTAGACATTGTTAAACATTGATTTAATTCCTTGAGTTCATTCACGGCTGCTTGAATTTCAGACCCTTCTGGTGATAATTTCATCTTTAATCTCGGTTTTTTTTATGGCTTTATTGGTTGTATTTGAACGGTGTTGTTGCTATTGCCACTAGTATCACAA